GTGCTTCCCAAGCGGCGCACTTATCCAGTGCGCCACCGGGCCGGCCCCAAGAGGCCAGGTCTATTATAATTGTAATTCGAATAGCCACATGTCATGAGTGGCTACTGTACTGAACAGGGCAGGTTTAGATGGTATTTAAAGCCGTGAGAATGGAGGAGGTCATTATGGACGAGGGTTTTCAAAACACCATGTCAACTCTGGCAAATCAACACAATATAAAGCTGAGCACACATGTGAACTCAATACGGGGTAATCCTGCTGGGAGATAGAGGGATGAAGCAGGGGAGGTTTTCCTGAGAGGCCTATTTGAAGTCAGGTTTCAAAGAGAACAAGCTAATTTGAATGAAACGTGCACCTTAGACCTTGCTGGAGTGAGGGAAGCATCACGCCCAGCCCCAGCCTGGAGCCTTGTTTTTGGTAAGCGCTCCTTGTTGGGGATTTTTTGGTTTTACGTTTTTGTTTCTCGTATACACATACATCAAAACGGACACCAAGAGAGGCCTTTCATGTTTGTCAAAATCTATTAAAATCAAAATCTAAAAATTGTATGGTATAGCTGTTGATAGCCTAGAAAGTTCAGAAGTCATGAGCTGATCCCACCTGGATAAAAGTAATTAAGCCAACAATACTGACATCAGTATTAAATGGGGAATTTCTGGTTAAAAATTGACAAAGATGTCATCTATGACATTAAAGAGATAAACAGTCACAGGTGTGGTTTTGGCATTTTTTTTTTTAATAAAAAGAGTGTTCATCTGTCAGCTTGTGAACCTCTTCCACTAGCCCTGACAGATTCAGGTGATAGAGTGGAGTGTGTTTATGTCAGTGTTTGAAATGAAGTACAGATGTGAGGAGAAGTTCTGGAATTGGCGTCCTTTCTCCCATCAGTTTCAGCTGAGATACCCTGCTAGCCAGGAGAGGGACAGAGTTCCACTTAGACTGTCCTGGAGCTGGAAGGTCCCAACCTGCCACCTGCTCCCCCGCCAGGGCAGAGGCTGAAGTGGTGGCGGTCCCCACCCCATCCCACCTGTGTGGGTGTCGCGCAGGCTCTCCTCTGCCCGCGTCAGTGGCTGCCGCCTCCCTCTGGCCTCCCACAATGGCTATGATGGTGTTCAAGTGAAACAGTGTTAAGATGATGACGCATGGTCACTAGTGTCCTGCTGCTGCCACAATGAATAAAAATCATTTTTGTGAACCATGAACCACCTGTCTTCATAATGTTCCATGTTCTACTGTTCGCTGCTTCACAGCGTTTTGAGACTATTTATTTATTTATTTATTTTTCATTTTTGTCTTTTTTACTGACCGGTAATGGGATCGCAACCCTCGGTGTCACGCCTGCACCGGGGACCGGCAACAGGATCACAACCCTCGGTGTTGTGCCCACTCTGCGCTCAGCCAGTGAGCGGGAACCGGTCTCCACATGGGATCCGAACGCCACCACGCTCCCAAGCAGTGCACTCTCCAGTGCGCCACCGGGCCGGCCCTTGAGACAATTTTTGTCATGGACTGTTTCTCCCTCGTTCACTGCCTGCTTAGAAAACATGAGTGGTTTCATTAGAATCAGATCAGAGGGTCTTGGGGGAATTCTGTATAAAATCTTTGGTTTAGAAATACCTTCTCCTTAGACCTTACTAGTAATTGAAGAATAGAAATTAAAGCAACAAAATACTGTTTTTAGCCTGACACATTTGGCGGCGACATTTGGAAATCATAATATTCCCTGCAGATAAGGTTTAGGAATATGGGCACTGTACACTATTGCTCAACCAAAAAATGGTGTAACATTTTAGAAAGCAATTTGGTATTATGTATCAAAAGCCATAAAAATGTTTTTGTGTCTTAACTTTTGGAATAATGGTAGCCTAAAAACTGTCTTACAAACCCCCTTCCTCCCCAAAACTAACCCTAAGGACTTTAAAATAAGGAGAAAGGCCTCGTTAATACCAAAAATAGGTGGTTGCTGCCGCTAGTCGGGGCTGAATTGAAGGAGGCCGGGAACAAGTGCACAGCTGGCTCCCCTCTCGGCAGAGCCCCGTTGTGTTATGAAACGAGTTTGAGGTTTCCAGTGCATCCTCTCTAATTTCCCTTAATTTGGAGGAAGAGGGCTGGTGGCTTAGGCTTCGTCATCACAGATCAGCAGCTTTCCAAGGCCTCAACTACAAACTGGAAGAAATCGTGCCCTGCTGTGGCTTTCTGCTTTTCTCCAACCTGGTTCCTAGAGCAGAGAGTTTGCTTCATTGTGAGAGCAAACCCTTTGGTCTTCAGGCTCCAGATGTTCGGGCAAGGGCAGAGGGAGAAAGCTATGGGGAAAAAGAGTATGAAGTTTAAACGTATAAAAGTCTGAAAATCGACTTGCATAAAACATGAATAAGTAGAGAAACATTTGTCTCTTGATTATACATAGTGTAGCAATTCAATTACATTTTAATATGAGGGCACTCGAAAAGGTTTGTGGAAAGATTCGTATTATCTTTTGATTCTGTTTTTCCACAAACGTTTTGAAGTATCCTCATATAATCCTAATGGCTTTGGAATGAATTGTGGAGAGTGGAGAGGCATAACCAAACGATTCTCAAGTTCACCTGGATGAGCAAACGTCAGGAAATAGCCAAGAGCCTCATAGAGAAACTGTATAGAGCAGGGGTGAAGGGTCGTGGAGCGGTGCTGTGAACATTCGAAGGGAAAATTGTTTTCAATCTAGAATTCTCTATCCAGCCAAACTGTTAACCAAGTACGATGTAGAAAAAAGACGTTTTCATATACAAATGCCTCCAGAAAGTGTGTCTACCCCACATCCCCTAAGAATTTGCTTTAGTGAGACAGGAGCAGAGGGCTTGGCAGCTGGAGATGTGACAGAATGGAGACATGGTGAGGAGGGTGAGTGAGAGGAAGATAAGGGGGAAGTGAGAAGCTGCACAAGGAAGTCACAGGCCGCTCCTGATACAGGCCGTCCAAGCCAGAACAGAAAGTCCGTGGGCCGCAGGGGTAGTCACGGGAATTAGCCAGAAGCCAGGTGAGGAGGAGCCTGCGCTCACTCTCCCGGTCAGAAGAATCCAAAACAAACAGAAACTACAGGAAAAAATAAACTTTGGAGGAAAGGCAGGGTGCGGCTCTGGAGCAAGTTAAAATGTGGAGTGATTTTGAGGAATTGATAAAGAAGAGGAAAATCCTTTAGAACAATTCTTTGTGGAGCCGCAGAGGAGGAGATGTGGCCGCGGCAGCGTGTGTGAGCACCGCTCACTGTCCCCGGCTCCACAGCCGTCCCCATGCACGGAAGACTCAAGCTGTGCCAGGAGAGCAGGCGGGTGTTTAGCAGTCTGAGTAAAACCTGACAAGGTGGAGGAAAGACAAGGGGCACTTACCTCTTGTCACACAGGAAGTGCTGTTTGCAAGGGATGGGATAAGAAGTAGTTTAAGGATGTTATTTAAGGTCAGAATATTCCCACAACTAATAAGGGAACAAATCAGCCGTGTGACGACAGTAAAGGGAGGAGAGAGGCACTTGGTGCCTAGGCCTCATTTGTCCTGGGAGGAGTCCAGAAGATTCAGCCTCCGTTTTAGAAAGCACAAAACAGTCGTGTAAGCATAGCACAGAGATCCGGAGGCGATGACCGGAAAAACGAGGGAAATTAAAACATGTTTTCCTGGGGACCAGAACTGCAGGCAGCAGCAGTTTTCACTTGATTATGTTTAACTGTGCGCACATATTACTTTGATAATTTTTTTATATAGAACCATGATCAAACACCTTTATTATATAATAGAATGTGTGTGTCATAAATCTTGACAAAGTAAAAAGATATCAAAAACATTTATCTTTGATAGTGAGGTGTCAATCAGTAATTTTTAGTGGCAACTGTAACCTGCTAATCTTTTTTCTTTATCTTAAGGCCATTGTTTGCATATTTGACTTAATATTGTTTTATAATAGTGGATAATCTATATGGGAGTGTCAGCTGATGTTCTTTCCTAGAAAAAGCTATGTATTTTTGGTTGATGATTCTGGTCTCTTTGTCTTTTAAACCTAGGAAAGGAATCTCTCGATGGCATTTGAAGCAGCTGAAAGCGTAGGCATCAGACCCAGCCTGGTAAGTGTCCTATTTTGTATCTTTGTGATACTTTATTCTAATTATAGGAGAGTGATCATTATGCCATCTACTAAATAATTTCCCGTAGAACATTGAAATCCATTTGCTGCAGATCTGTTACTCATGATCCCTGATATAAAATTATCCAGTTGGACTGATGATATATGATTTAGAGTTTTTTCAATTAAGAAACACAGCAGACTGAATTATCATTAAAGCTAGAACTTCCACTACAATGTTGGATAAGAAAGGTGAGAGAGGACATCCTTGCCTTGTTCCCAATTTTAGGGGGGGAAGCATTCAGTCTTGCCCCCCTAAACCATTAAGTATGATGCCAGCTGTTGTTTTTTTGTAAAATATGCCTTATTAGGAAAAAGAAATTCCTTTCTATTCCTAGTTCTTGAGAGTTTTTAATCATGAATGGTTGTTGAATTTGTGTAATTCTTTTTCTGCTTCTGTTGATATGATTGTGCGATTGTTCTTATTTAGTCTGGTAATATGATAAAATATTGATTTATGTATGTTGAACCAGCCTTGCATTCCTGTGATGAGCCCCACTTAATCATGATGTATGATACTTTTTGGTTGCGATCCGTTGCCGGTCACGAAAAAAGACAAAAA